GCATTGTATACCCGACCTCTGACAGTCAGGCTAACGTCGCGACGGCGCCAGAGGTGGCTAAAGTTAATGTATGCCATCCTAGCCTTCAGTTATACGGTTGGAAATCTCATCCGTCATTTTGTCAACTGATATAATCGATATCACGCAGTAAACTCCATTAGTGACTTCAACACTTCTGACAACCGGCTTAGATTAGTGGGCTAACCTGAATTCACTATTCGCTAATCAGAAATGCATCGTCATAGTTATAGTCTATTTCATAAGTGCAATTAAATCCACCTTTGAATCACGAGTCTATTGGTCTTTAGTCTCACATCATCAAATAGGTTTTAGTATTCTATTTAAAACATACACAGATTGGTACAATGTAGGCACGAAGAAGATGAGCCATACAATAATAACAATAAAACAACAATATACAAAGGCAATAAGGAGAGAGTGAATAAAGAGCTTCATCCAGGAAAGAAGTAGCTATATTTCACAAGACCAAATATAATATTGATTGCAATTCTTAGCCATAGTTGATAACATTTCCAGCCACCAATTCAAACTCTGGGTCGGATTCCAACCAGGGTATCGCGATGTAACAACCGAGGCTAATCTAACACAAATATATCCTTCATCTCACGATGCCAAATCATCAGCTGACAACTTCTTCACCATTTGCATCCAGTCCTAGAGCTAACGAACAGAGACTGCTATAGAAGCCTCTGAGGTGACATTCGTAGCCCATGTCCAAGCAACCGAAGCCACCAATGTTTCCAGGTTACAACACACCAAACACACGCTACTGGACCTCAGAATTATTCACACGATGATGCTATCGAAAACGCAAGCGATTCTACGGAGACGGCCAGGTTTCAAAGCACAGAAAAAGACTGTGTGCACCGAAGCACTAAAAAACTCGACCTCTGACAGCCAAACTAGCGCGCCGCGACGGACCCAGAAGTGGCTCAAATTGGAGTATGCCACCTTAGCCTTCATGATACGGTTAAAAATCTCGTCCATCAACATCTCAACCAGCACTCTCACACAGCCACCCAGATTCACGGGCTTGCCGAAAACACTTTAAGTGGTTCACCGGCAAAGATGAGCTCAGGTATATGTTCCTGTCAATCTTGTAATAGTGCTTTGCAATTGGACAGCACAAAGCGTATACCGTGCTTTCAAATACTGAACACCAGGTTTCAACACACAGTGCAGGAAATTGAAGAAAAAGCATAGCAGATTGTTAGAGCTTCCCTCCAAATAATATGTATTGTGACCAATTGTATCAATTTACTTGGAGATTCTACGCACACACACACACACACACACACACAGAAGGAGTAATTACTTTACGATAAAATACGCTTAGAATTCTACGATACTTTATGCGCCAGTGGTACATCGGCAGAATGCTCATCAACCACGCCGTATGTGGTTCGACATCCGATCCCCGATGCACTCCTTTACCTCGCCAAGCAGGTAATAAGACTGACAAAGAGGGAAGGTTGGTTATGAGGATAGCAACTCCATCCCATGAAAAAATAAACACTACTGCTACCAAAACTTTAAGCCTCTAGCATGCTTGAAGCCGTCCTATGTTTTAGCACTGGGAACGTGAAGGATTAAAAGAAAGTACTTATACATTTTACAAAATAATAATAGAAAAAACAACCCCTTATCACCAACTATCAACTACCTCCATCTCTCCAAGAGATACATCGATGATGCTTTCATTATTTGTGATGAGAATTGTGATTTAAAAAACCTACTTCAAATCTTCAATAACACCCACCCAAACATCGACTTTACACTTGAGATTGAATCCGACGGAATGTTTTACTTCCTCGACGTCCATCTGACAAGAAATACCAACAACTCTCTGAAAAGGTTCATATACAAAAAGCCTACATAGAATGGACAATTCATCAACTTTCAAAGCTTTGCGCCACTGAGCAGAAAGAGGAGACTGATATACGTTCTTTCATCGAGGATTAGGAAGATATGCAGCGAGGAAGTGATTGAAGAAGAACTGCCTAATCTCCGAAAAACCCTGATGGAAAACGGTTTCCCGCTTAGGTTCATAGAAAAGAGTCTCAAATCTAAGAAGACTTCCGAACAAGTCTAATCCATTCCAAAGAAAATACTTCTGCTTAATCTAGAATTCAAAGGTGATATTGAAGCAGAAATTCTCTAAATCGCTGAGGAAAACATACTTCGCCGCTTGCCTACGACTGACGTTTTCCTGCAAGAAACTGTTCAGCCAGAACGCGAAAGACAAGCTGTCGCATTGGGCCACCTCAACGTGCATATACCAGTTTATTTGCTCTTGTGGAGCTGAGTACATCGGTCGTACCATGCACCAACTTGAAAAATGCGCTCGTAAACACTACCCAGCCTGGCTTGTAAAAGGAGACCAAAAGCGTGTATACAGTTCAGTGACAGAACATCTGGTCAATTCAGGACATTCAGCGCCTTTCGAAAAATCCTTCAAAGTAATATACAAGATTCAAACAAACCTATCAAAGAGAGTGAAACTAAGACATCTGGGAATAGCTGAGGCGCTAGCCATCCCAAAGCTCAAACCCACGCTTTGTATCCAAAAGATAAACGTTCAACCCTTTTCCCTGCCATGACCATCATAAACAGGTAATTCTTTTAGTACTTACTTACTTTACTTCGGCTATCTCCTACGGGAGGATGAGCCGGCTTCATGAACGTCTCGAATCATCGCTGCCCAGGCGCGGCAATTTGTAAGAGAGTTCATGAAGTTTCATGGGAATTAGGTACGAGTGATGTCCCCAGCATCGCTCGGCCTTTTGTTTGAGAGTGCAGCTCTAGCCTTTACACAGCCAAGTGTGACCTACAAGGCAGTACGAGTGGAGTAAGGAGTCCACTATCCATTGGCAGCCGGTGACCGGAGTTCGGTTCATACGCCTTTTTGAATGGGGCCAGACATCCAGGACATCCAACAAGCCCTTTGTCCATACGTCTGCCGGTGAGCTTCATACGCCAGTCGTTGGAGGTTTGGAATCAGGGTTTAGCCATCTCCCCTAGACTGTCATCCAATGGACAGTCAACCCGGTGGAGAGCGCCGGGCATCCGCTTTCGCCCTCTCACTTTGGTGAGAAACACCTCCGCCATGTGAAGGCAGTGAGTAGGACTTCCTCAGGAGAGGCTATGTAAGACGCCCGGTCATATGGGAGCATTTCAGGAGGTGTGCGGAGGGGTGGCCAACCCGCAGCGCAAGGCACCCACCCCCGACCATCCTGAGGCTTTGGAGGCAATTCTTTTAGTAATGACCATCCCATCGCCTTTCTTGTCCAAACTTCCTGTTTATTCATGTTATTTTACGTTTTTCTTTATCTCTGTTTACACTACCATATTTTCATATCCGAACTTCGTGTTTATTTTGTCATTTTACTATTTCTGGACTTCGTCGATGATATATGTCTGATTTTCCACAAACTGAAAGATATGCAGGTCAAAAGCAACAAGTTGGCAGAAGAAGCATCAAAGACAGCAAAGACTTCTGGTGAACATAGATAAAACAGAGGTGATGAAGATTCCTGGCCAACACCAACAGTAACAACAACAACAGACAACAATCAGCCAGCATTAATGGGAGGAACCTGAAAGAAACAACCTCATTCACCTACCTACCTAACTGGGAAGCATAGTTTCAACCACAGGCGGAACTGACGAGGATATCAAAGCCAGAATCGGAAAAGCAAGACAAGCTTTCATTACTCTTAAGTCTGTGTGGAGGTCAATAGCACTACTCCGCATGAAAATGGAAATAAGATCCGGATTTTCAACTCCAATGTGAAGTCAGTGCTACTACACGGATGGACAAGAGACTTGGAGCGTCATAAAGAGCATCTCAAACAAACTTCACACTTTCATTAACAGTTGTCTTCGCTGAATACTCCAGATCAGATGGCCGGCCAGAAAAGATCAGTAACAGGGATCTCTGTCAATGGGCCAACCAACCAGGAACCGATTGTGAAACAAATAGGCAGGAATAAATGGAGGTGGATTGGAATGGCCATACTCTGAAGAAACCATCAAGTGACATCACTAGACAAGCCATCGCTCGAGTGGAACCCGAAAGGGAAGCAGCGAGTTGGTCGTCAGTCCGAGGGTCGAGTGACTTGGAGGAGGTCATGTGAAGAGGAGATGAAAGCATGTGAGCAGACTTGGAGCGGGGTGAAAAAGTTGGCAGAAAACCGAACGCAATGGAGACGCGCAGCTGAAGCCCTATAGTTCCTCTAGGAATTAAAGGATAAAATAGTGAATAATAATAATAATACTATTTCTACATATTTAATCCCTGATTGCATGAACAATTGAAATAATAGAAAAGATTTGTAACTCAGGTGGATAATTTGCAATTGATAGTGTTCTCTGAGCTCCTTGGTTTAATTGCGGAGCTTTCATCGTCTTTCTGGACGACATCTTCAGCGCAGTATTTAAGCAGTATGAAAGCTCCGCAATTAAACCAAGGAGCTCAGAGAACACTATCATTTGCATAAACAATTATTCATCACATTAATTTTCTTTATCCAAACACCCTGTATATTTTTGTTATATCTACATTTCTAACCCCCAATTGCACGATGTCAATCTTCTTAGTTATATTGTGATGCTACTTTGTTTGAGTTTTATCCGTCCCGCTGTTTATGATGGCATTCTAATTCCTAATTGTAATTTTTATTAATTTAACCCTTAACCGGAAATTATTAACCGGAATTTTTCCCATCCATTTGATATAAATACACGGTGACGGTGACTTCATCAAGAAGAAAATTTTCTTCGCTGCAATTGTTTTTTCAAAATAATAATAACAATATTATTATTTACAAAAAAGAATAAATAGTATAGTGGTAAGGTCAACAAAAAAAAATGATGACCAACGGAACGAACAGTGTACAGTACAACAACAGTATACTTAATTATGCAAATAGAACAAAGGGGGATCAAATTTGCCAGAATTTGTGATTTGTGGGATGACACTACCACATAAAAATAGGATAAGATTCAGCATCGTGACCATCATCGTCATCAACGGCAACAGCAGGAGCAGGAGCGGCAGCGTTATTATTTCGAGAATTATTTTGAATTAATTTTTTCGGTTTGGGTATTGGTTTCTCTGGATTATGATCAATAGTTTGGTGTAGAAGCATGCCAAGGATACCACCACGTTGAGAGATTGCCCGTTGTAGTCGATTCTCCTCTTGCATTAATTCATCCATTTGTATAAGCTGAGAAAAAAGGTAAGGCAGGCAGGGAGTGAGTGAGTGAGAGGGAAAAAAGTAATGAAGGTATCAGTTAATTACGTAATATAATAAATTTGAATAAGGCGTTTAGAAGAGAAATTTCGCCGCGAGATGATATCGTCATTTCGTCGTTTCTTTACAACCGCTTTACAACTAACATGGTTAACAATAATAAAATAAAATAAAGATCATGACAATTATTCAGTTAAATAAAAAACAAAAGTACATACTAATGACCAATGATATTTAGATAGGTCATGTTGTCCATGGTAGGCGAAGATTGAAGTCTATTGTTGTTTTTGTACACATAGTTTAGGCTGTATGTGATCAATCCCCCAAAGTGCTTCCATCACCTTCAATAACCAACCTTGAATTAGAGTTATGTGGTGAAATAATTGTGAAGCAGTCATTAATAATATTGATTTTGTGACCTGACACTAATAAGCGTTTTGCAATGGATGATGATTCTGGATTTCTATTCAGATTATTAACTGCATTGGGATTTTCTATATGTTTTTGTAACCATTTTGAAATGTGTGCACATTCTACGCCGCATCTCTTTTTCTCATTTCCCGAACATTTTCAATCCCTGCAACCACGACTAAAAGACGAAATTCTGTGGATTCTACTTCAAACTGTATCTCTACAAGTTCACCTGCAGTTGGGGTGACACCTATTTGGGAAGAACCAACAGAATGTTCCAGAGTCGTCGAAAAGAACATGATCCAAAATGGCTACTAAATCATGTAGAAAATCCCAATGCAGTTAATAATCTGAATAGAAATCCAGAATCATCATCCATTGCAAAACGCTTATTAATGTCAGGTCACAAAATCAATATTATTAATGACTGCTTCACAATTATTTCACCACATAACTCTAATTCAAGGTTGGTTATTGAAGGTGATGGAAGCACTTTGGGGGATTGATCACATACAGCCTAAACTATGTGTACAAAAACAACAATAGACTTCAATCTTCGCCTACCATGGACAACATGACCTATCTTAATATGATTGGTCATTAGTATGTACTTTTGTTTTTTATTTAACTGAATAATTGTCATGATCCTTATTTTATTTTATTATTGTTAACCATGTTAGTTGTAAAGCGGTTGTAAAAAAACCACGAAATGACGATATCATCTCGCGGCGAAATTTGTCTTCTAAATGCCTAATTCAAATTTATCAATGGGACTAACTGTAAAATAATAACTTTCAAATGAGTTTACTGCATGATATGTTTTCCCTTCGTACAATATCTTCAAGTAAAATATTAATTGACAACAGTATAATATCCTTCCTGTGACACGATGATCTCTTAGCTGAAGAAAAAACCATTCCGCTACGATATATCTTAGGATAGCGTTATTAGAAGACGGAGATTATCTGAAAAATCTAATGTGATCGATCCATTTGCGCCAAACATTTCGAACAATTCTGATCCCTCACACATTTACTTGTCAAGTCGATAGATATGAAAAAAAAATTAAGGACAATTAAATTAAACAAAGTGGCAAAACACAAAGGATTTAAGAATGATTAACACAACGTTTGGTAATCCAATCAAATAAGGATTACCAAGGTAAGAGAGGGGGGGGTGGGACTTAAGTTTATGAATAACTATAGCCTCAGTATGAACATAAAAGATAGGAAAATGTATTCATTTGATGTTAATTCTTTGTTTACTAATGTACCATTAGTTAAGACTGCTGATATTCTTTGTGACTATATATCTTCTAGTTGCTTTTCATTCCCTTTCCCTTTAACTTATTTGAAAGATTTATTATTACTATGTACTGACAACGTCCATTTCACGTTTGAAGGCGAATACTTTCGACAACTGGATGGTGTTGCTATGAGAAGTCAATTAGGACCTTTGCTAGTGGACGTTTACATGTCTTATGTTGAGAACTTGTCCTTTCATTTAATTTCTAAATTGCCCTTCTATAGGAGGTATGTAGATGATATCATTTTGATATGCGACGATTATGAATATGTGAGTCGTCTATTAGACAGACTTAACTCTGTACAGAATCATATTAGTATTACATGAGAAGAAGAAAGTCGTAACCAGCTCTCATTGTTAGACATACCTCTGAGTCGAAGAGACGACGGTTCAATAAGACGATTAGTCTACAGAAAGCCCACTTGGACAGGGGAGTATCTTAATTTTCACAGTTTTTGTCCATTACACTATAAGAGAGACTTGGTGAAATGTCTATTTCAGAGGATTCAACGTATTTGTACGACTGATGTTATAGACAAAGAAAACGAAATATTGATGGATATTGATGGATTGAAAGCGGATATCCTTTAAAATTTTTAAACAAATGTAGAAGTCAGCTAGTCTCTAAACCTACAATCCATACCGCCCCTAAGGAAAATGTATTCATCAAATTACCATATAACGGGAAAATAAACAGTAAGCTTTTGAGACAAAGGTTGAATTCAATCATCCGTAGAACCTATTATGCAGCCCAACTTATGATTATCGAAAAAGCTAAAAATATGCTTCACTGTAAACCTCAAAAGTGCACAAGTGAATATATCATATCCCACACTATTTACCAATTTTCGTGTGTGTGTGGAAACACATACATAGGAAGAAGTAGTCATGCTTTCTATGTGAGGGTAAGAGAGCATATCCCAAAATGGTTAGAAAAACAGATGAATTGTGACAAGCCAATAGACGCAGGTGTTAGACTACCAACTTTGTCTATAGCTAAACATCTAATCGAGATGAACCATAAGAGTTCATCTATAAAAACGGTCAAGGGCGCTTATTGAAATACGCTGAGGCTATAGCTATTCATAAACTTAAGTCCCACCTCCCTCCTCTTTGTGTATTCAAAAAACAGTTTATTATTACCTTGGTAATCCTTATTTGATTGGATTACCAAACGTTGTGTTAATCATTCTTAAATCCTTTATGTTTTGTCACTTTGTTTAATTTAATTGTCCTTATTTTTTTTTTCATATCTATCGACTTGACAAGTAAATGTGTGAGGGATCAGAATTGTTCGAAATGTTTGGCGCAAATGGATCGATCACATTAGATTTTTCAGATAATCTCCGTCTTCTAATAACGCTATCAAAATTTTAAAAAAGTGACTAATTGTTTTAAATTTATGATATATCTGCTTTTCCTACTTCAAGAAATCCATCCACGATATCCGGTTGGAAGCCAATTGTAAGATGTTTAGAATTTGTACATTTTGAGAACCAAGGACATAAGTGAAGAACAGTTCTCTCATGTCTTGGAACAACACGTTGCCAACCCCAAAATCAGACCATTCGTCAAGTTTAGTAGGAAATAGTGAATCAAAAGCATTAGATATCATATCTTAATCGATTAGAACAAACCCAACGAGAGAAAATATATGGAAGCGATAGAGAGAGAGAGAGAGAGATGGAAGGATTTGGTAGCACAAGTTTTTTTAAGCAGGCCGCCATTTATGACCATAATAAGCAGAAATACGCGATTGGAAGAATAGTAACGTGGAAAAAAAATGGGGAATCAATGCATACAACATGGTTTTCAGAAATATCGCCTATAGTCTCAAAACCACGGATTCTCAGTGGCTCGAGATCTCCAGTCAGGCAGTCTACAACTTAAGATGCGGTTGGCTCAAACCGATTATCAAAGCTTCATTGATTGATTCAAAATTTGGATTTGACCAGACTTAAAACTTTTCAAACTAAACCTACGTCATATAACATCCCTCACCGAGGAGCTGAGTGACTCATAACGCGCAATACGCGCAATCTCCTAGCCATCTCAACCGATACAGCTAAAACATCTCACCGGTGAACTTCGCCTCCTCACTTATCACTCAACATCATCAAAGGTAGATAGCCTTCTCATGTCTCCAACTTTTAATGACCATGTCTCACAGCTCATAAGGAGGACAGGTAGACATGGTGCGCAGTACACACGTCCTCCAGAGATGACGTACATTGGTGAATGCCGTAGTGTCGAGATTTCGTCACTGATCACTCCGTTGCGGTTGACGTGCGACTTCCCAAATAAGTGAAGTAGTCAACGCTCTCCACCACTTCACTCTTGCCTATCTTTAAGGAAGGAGTCGATATATTCCAGTTGTGTAACATCATCATACATTTGACAGGAGCAAATCGCATGCCAACGTGTTCTGCTCGTGTTCAGAAGACTGAATTTTATCAGCATTTATCTCCCCTTCGGTGGACAAAATCATTCGCATAATTTACGTAACAAGTACTAATCCATTAGGTCGTTAAAGTCAGTTAGTGCTAATTTCACTGGGACATCTACGATAAAGCTAAACAAAAATTAGGACATTGGGAAATCCCCCATTCCGTAAAGGCAAAATATTTACTCTACTACAACTTCAAAAAGCTTAAATACCACCCCACTCTCACCCTTCAGAAGGCAAAGAAACTTGAGAGGGGAAATTAACAAATTTTGCACGCAAACACAAACAGTTCAATCGAGTTCCACTGGTTCAATGGTATACAAGCTTGCTTTGTAGCCGGAAAGCCGTGGGTTCGAACCCTGGCAATGGGTTTGTCTGTCTATTTTCGACATAAAACTTTGCACCAATGTGCACCAGTTCAAGTCGTCACACTACCCACATCTAGCACACAAAGCAAGAGAAGAAAGTAGAAGAAATGCATAATACAGACAGTAAACAGAGGTGTGACACAAAGGAATAGTAATAACGAAGAACAATATAGTTTCATTGGAAATCACAAGTCGCAGGGAGTGGATGCATCTGCGCCAGCCAGTCATTGACAACGATCACTTTGAGCCATATCACCAATTGTTTCCAACCTTCATTGGTTTTTACCGTCCCGAGGACCCCAACCAAGAAGCCAGTCTACACCTTCCTACGTGACTGGCTGGCTTAAATTAACTGTTGTGGATTTCATTGACTGATGAGTCCATGTTTTGGTTTGGCCACCACTAGCTCTCTTCCAGCCTGATCAATCCTATGTCAATGGGATGGCTAGGCATGAGTAACTCATGTCCTAACCATCCCATTCAATCGATGTAACTTCACAACCTCGTTTATTGATTCTCCCTGCTAACATAGTATTCCATGCCTAACCTCAATATTACTCGCCCTATTATACCACTTCACACGGGAGATAGAACGTAGGCACCTATGATCGAAGACAGCTAATCTTTTCATGTCTTCGACTCTCAATGACCAGGTCTTGCTCACAGCCATAAAGGAGGAAGGAGCGAACTGCTGAGCAGTACACACACCCTTTTGTCGATAGTAGGATATCACATCTACTAAGCCAGAGACGGCGTAAACTGGCATATGCGAAGCTAACCCTCTGTATCGGTACTGAGATTTCGTCAGAGATCAACCCGTTGGCGTTAACTGATGCAACTCCTCAAATAAGTGAAGCGGTCAACGTGCTCTACCATTTCACTCCCTATTTCTAAACTAGGAGTCAGTGTAGTCCAGTCCTGTAACATGATCTTATATTTGGTGGGAGAGAATTGCAAGCCAAACATTCGTAGATTGCAGCTCAAGGTGTTCAGAAGACTCTGCTTTATTTTGCCAGCGTCCTCGCCTCACAATGGGTGCGTACTGGGAATGACTCCAAAACTAGGATGAAACAGCTGTCCAGTACTCCGTGCTGGTTTTCAATGGTTCCTTCTCAAATCTAATCCTTCCTTACAAACCAAACTCTTGAAAACAAAACAAAAAAAATACAACCAACAAACGAAAATAAATTCCCGCTTACACAACGATATCTTTCCAAGTCAATTTTCGCACGACGTAAACGTTCCCAGCCGAAGTGTTTAGTACACTTATTATGCGGTATAGAACAGAATTCACCAGTTTCAATAAATACATCACGAACAAGTGGTGCTCCACACACTGTATCTGCAGGTAACTTTGGCTCTTTATAATGTTCACAAACAACACGTAATCGTTTACAATACGCTTTAGCTTGTGAATCATAAGCATCACAAAATAACGGAGTACCGATGATTTGTTCTTTTTGATTAGCACAGAATACAGTATTGCCTTCCATCTACAAAAGAAAAAAAACCAGCAAAATTAGGAAAGATAGTCTGTGATTAACCAAATCCAAGTACACTATCTTGTTAATTAAGGAACAAGACATATATAAAAGCGAACAATATTGTTGTTTTCAATTAGATCTTCTTCAGGCTTTACTCTAACTTATTATTATTATTACTACTATTGTTTCCTTTAATTCCTACAGGAACATAGGGCTTCAGCTGCACCTTTCCATTGCATTCGGTTCTCTGCTGAAGTTTTCACCTGGCTCCACACCTACCCACATGCTTTCACCTCCTCCAAGTCATCCTTGCACTGAAGACCAACTCGCCACTACCCTTTCGTGTTCCACTCGAGCGATGGCTTGTCTAGTGGTGTTACTCACTTGATGGTTTCCTCAGCGTATGGCCAATCCATCGCCATTTCTTCCTGCTTATTTGTTGCACAATCGGTTCCTGCTAGGTTGGTTCGCTCATTGACAGAGATCCCTGTTGCTGATTGTTGTCTGTTGTTGTTGGTGGTGGTGGTGGTGTTGGCCAGGAATCTTCACCGCGACATCTGTTTTCTCTATGTTCACCTGAAGTCCTATCTTCTCTGGATGCTTCTTCTGCCAACTTGTTGCTTTTCACTTGAATATCTTAGAGTTTGTGGGAAATCAGACATATATCACATCGGCGAAGTCCAGATCCTCCAAGTGTTTTGTGTGAGTCCATTTTATGCCTGTTTCCTCGCTGCCCGCCACTGTTTGTTGCATTATCCAGTCTACTGCAATCAGGAAAATCATTGGCGATAGTAGAGAGCCTTCCTTGTCTTACTCTAATTTACGTAGATTTATATTAAAACAATAAGTTCCCTTTATGAATTTAGTTAGACAAAGCAATAAGACGTAATTTATCTTAATCGTGTTGTAATGTATTTGCGTGCAGCACACATTTCGAACAATTTGATCACACACGCACTTGTCATAGGAATATATATATATATATATAATAGAGTTATAGGTGAAGAAATAAATTTAACTCAAGTTAAAATGACATATTGAAGGTCAAAATAACAATAACGATCACTAAACCAAATGAGGGAGGTGATAAATAGTGCACCTACCCAGGCTGGTATCAAAACAAAGTTTAACAAGGAAGGTAGGTTTAGTGTGATGACGAATTGTTACTTTGATTGCATAATGGTGGTTTAAACTTCCTAATTGCCAGCTAGGGCTTTCATAAACTTTAGGATAAGTCATTTTCCAAAATACGTTTTATAGATAGGTTTAAAAGATGTGTTAACGTCAATTTTACATCCTGTCTCTATAATATATATTTCGCAATAGAGAAGCTAGGTTGTCTGTTCTCACCATTAATGTGTTCTGGGGATTCCATTTACTCCTGGAACCATTTAGGAATATACTCTGAAACCAACCCTTACTTGCAGAGATCGATGAGTCCTCCCTATGTATGTGTGTGTGTTCACATGTACATTCAAATTGGTAAGTATCCAGCAGGATGTGACGTCATTTTTCGCATGTTCAAAGGGCTTAAATGGATATATCGGCCTCACATTCTCAATTATTATTATTATGATATTAGCTGCATAAAAAGTCTTTTTTTGACAGCACAACTCTTTCATCAAACTATTCATGTTATTACACAATTCTTCTTTAACAATCGTTTGTGGCAACTCATCACTTTTGTTACTATTATCATATTATTATTGTTCCCTCGGGTTCCTAGTGAAACATAGGGCTTCAACTGCACGTGTCCACTTGCTTCCGTCTTCTGCTGTGCTATTCACCTGTATCCATTCATGTTAGTGGATACTGTTTCAACTACTCTTCACACGATCTTATCCATGTCACCCTTGCACTGACATCCCACTCGCCGCTTCCCTTTCGGGTTCCACCCGAGCAATAGCCTGACGCACGGCCTTCTCAGAGAGTGTTCAATCCGTCTCCACTTTCTCCTGTATATTTCATGGACAATTGGTTTGTTCTTGTTTTGTTTCTTCCCATAGTTTCTTGTTGGTGATTCTTTCCGACCCGGCCATCTATCTGATCTTCAGTATAGATCCAGCGAAGACAGTTAGTTGTTGATAAAGGTCTGCAAAAGGCTGTTGGAAATATTCTTTGTGACCCGCCCGCCACGTTTCTAATTCGTATAGAAGAACTGACTGACTTGACGTTGTTTGTATTGAAAATCCGACCGAATTTTGTTGTTGATGCTGAGTGACGAAGATTGGTTTTCCAGATTGGTTTCAGGTTGATGAATGTGTTTCTCGACTTCCCAATTCTCGCTCGATTTGACATCCTCGTCCGTCCCTCCTCCTGTAGTTGAGACAATGCTCCCTAGATAAGTGAGAGAATGGAGTAACCTCTTTCAAATCCCTCCCGTTGATGGTGATTGGTGCTAGATGTTGCTGCTGCAGTTGTTGTTGTTGTTGTTGGTTGGTTGGTTATTTCCATAACCTCCGTCTTGTCTACGTTCACTTGGAGTCCTGTCTTCTCTGGCTGCTTCTTCGACCGGTTTGTCGGTTTTCGCTTGTCAGTCTTCGATTTTGTTACTACTACCCGCTTATACCAACATCCAATTCCTCTGACTACTTTTTTGTAATATGTAACTCCACCCAAAACTTACCAATTTTCACCTGTTTAGTTACAATAACCCTAACCAATTGTATGTATTTTTGTTTGATAAACTTAATGTACACAAGCATACAAAATAACCCATTGATATATTTACGATTGTACAGCTAAGAAAGTGAATTCGCTGCCGAAAAGAGACTCTTCGCTGAACTGGTGGTCTTCTTTCTATTCACTGAAATAGTGTCACCATAGATTACAAACGGGAGAGAATAAAAGAGCCAGTTATTTAGTTTATAACATAGTAAGTCGTCGGTTTGGTGCCTAATTATTATCTGTGTCATATAGGATGCAAGTCAAATATGGTATCGTTAGTTTGTTTATTAGATGTATCACACAGTGAAACAGTATTGTTTACTGGATGACATGGTTTCGAACACAATTTATTACGGCTCATAATCATATCAATTGTAATCACACGACTTCGAAATTTGAGTTATATAGTTTTCTTTGTTTTCTCCTATTTGTCATCGTAGGGATAGTAGAATTTTCCAGATCTCCAACTGGACAGATGTTGAATCATTCCTATTACACGTATTTGCAGTTGATTCGATAAACAAAGCTTCTGCTGTCATCAGTCTCTCCCTCCACCCTGAGACATTAGATTTTAAAACCGTCACCTTATCCCATCCAGCCTATTATATGGTTGTGTGTAATTGCATGTAGTGAGTTGCATAGCTGAACTATTCTCTAGATTTCCCATTTTATTCGGGTCAACCAATCTAGATTTTGGTAGGTTTCTATGTTCAGCTAGTCTGACTGCACCTGTTCCACTAGTTTGACCTATGTATTTGACCTGACAATCATTGCAGGCAAGGTATTAGATAAACTAAATTGTTTTGTTTTAAAGTCTCCACCGAACTGATCCTTTAACCGACAAAGCTTGTTTCTAATTGAGTTGGTGGTTGGTTTGAATTCCAGCCACTTTTATTCCTGCTTGTATTGTTAAGAATTTTGCGTAATTTGGTTTCCGAGGTTCCTTCCTTGTATGGAATTACTACTGATGATTTAGATTCCTTATTGTTGGTGTCGTCATTAATATTATCATCATTATCATTATTATTGTTATCATTATTATTATTATCACTATCACTACTACCAGTATTTATTTTATTTTTATATTTCCCTACATATTTCCTGACTAATTTATCCGGGTAATTATTAAGTTTCAAGGCTTCTTTTATGTGTATCACTTCCTGTCTTAGATTTTCCTTAGTACTACTTAGTTTTTGTGCTCTGTCATTTAAACATTTCACCAATCCTATTTTCACTGAAATGGGATGTGATGATCGGAAGTCCAAATATCTGTTTGAATGTGTGGGTTTCCTGTAAACACTAGTGTTCAACTTCCCATCTTCTTTCCTTTTTACACTATAATCTAACATTTGAAGCTCCCCTTCCTGACTTTCTAATTCATAAGTGAATTGAACTGCCTCCATCTTCGAGTTGATGTGTCCGAAAATTCTATCTATATCTTGTGTTCTAAGTACAGTGAATGTGTCATCTACATACCTCCACCATACTTTTGGGGTGGGGGTGAACGTTTTAATCGCTATCTTTTCCCACCTATCCATGAATATATCTGCTACAACCGGGGATATTGGTGATCCCTTGGAAACTCCTTCAGTTTGTTTGTATATTTTCCCTTGGAATTTAAATACTGTGGAAGTCAGGCATAGCTGCACTCCTAGCATTATTTCTTCAAGTGGCACTTTTGTCCTAGGTTCGAATTCTTGGCCAGAAATAAGTTCGTTTCTGATTGCCTCTATAGCCATAGTTATCGGTATATGTGTGCATAAACTGACAATGTCAAAACTAACCATTTTTCCTCATTATCTAATTTTAAATTATCTAATCTGTGTTTTAGTTCATAAGAATTAGTTAGTCTAGATTTCGAGTGGCTTTTAATATGGTATCGTTGAGTTTCTGTACTTATTTGTGCGAGCGTATAATCTAGTCTTACCTGATAAGATGCTAGGCGAGGAGAGCGTTGAGAATAAAAAGAGGGAAGTGTTGAGAGACAGGCAGACAATGTGGATTAGGACTATTTCTCACATGAGTTCAGGGTGTCTATCGTGACTAAACTAGTAATGACGGGCTAGCTGACTAACTGACACTACACAAAACAACACAACACATAGCACAACTGTTCATCAGTGCACTGATGAAGCGGAGGCGGTCTCCACGCGCGGACTGGGCTGTCACACGGCCACCATTTACAGGCGGTATCCCGCTACGTCACCACGCGGGGACTTTTGCCTGCTGGGTTTCCCCCCTGGGCCGGTGCGCCCCTCCTTAGTCGACCTGAACAACTCGTCATGCATATATCGGCTCCGTGATTAGCGTGGACGCTCGATCAATATGAGCACCTGTAGGCCAGAACTCCCGGTCCCGCGAAATTCCGCACCCTAGCCTCCAAGTAGCTAGATTACAGGAATGTCCCATTTTTCTCCCCCTTTTTTAAGACGATTTTTCCCGTATTTGTCGGATTAGGTGTGTATAATAATAATAATAATAATAATAATGAAATATCACCTACCTTTTGAAAACATTTCTCCATATGCTTTAAGGCATGCCGCATACTGACCTCTGCTGAACACGTGACACATATTATAGATTCCATTTGTTCAACTTGTTCAGTATCTTGATCAACTGCAGAAAGCTAGAAAAATAATATTGAAAAAATAAATAAATGGAAATAAACAAACAACAGTAAAAGCCTACGTTAAAAAACAGATAGCCGTTTTAACACATACACACACACCTACACACTACACACATACGAACGGACGGTTGTCGATTTTAAGTTTAGTGATGATGATCACAAATCCACATCAGAATTGATCACGAGATGACATCACAGTTAAAGAACTATTGGAAAACCTGAGAACTTTTTCGTCCTAGTTTGGGACTCTTCATCGGTATGCACCCACCAAGCCCTTATACTAGTGAGAGGTAGTAACCAACGGGGTCTACGGAGTCAGGCTGACAGTTGCCCTGAATATGCATCACGAATTGGTAGAAGTTGGCATTCATGCACTGGTCATCAAGTCGGCTCCTCCCCCCCACAGTGGCTAATTGGTCTACGAGCTCTCCTCGTAAGCGGAAGGTTCTGGTTTCGAACCCTGGCAGTGGGTGAGTACTGATGAAGAGTCCCAAACTAGGCTAACGAAACAGTTTTCCAGTACTCCCAGCTGGTTTTCCGATAATTCTCTAATTGATGTCATCTTGTGGTCAATCCTGTAACCAATCAAATCCCTGTAAACTAACATTTGACAAATCCACATCAGTTATAGAATCATCAAAAACCACTGAGCGCTACTCATCATAGTAATTGACTACAGGATGGAATTGAAGTGCAGTTTTGTGATAGATAGGATCTATCATATCAGGTGTGAGGAGAGTTAGTCACCGATGACAGTAGATTCCATCCCGGTTACTGGGTGGTCGACAGGTTTGCTCGGAGGTTCTCGGTGCGTACTGATTAAATGTTTCAAACTAGGCCGAAAGAGCTGTTCAGTAACCCCACCCCACTCCGACCCACCCAGTTGTCAATCAGTTCCCCAAATGTCCCTCTGTTACTTAACTTACTTAAAAGCAGCCATATCCCTGCAAATCGGCACTTTCTGTGGTCAACAGAAGTTGGAAAGTTACTGTTCATGCATTCGATACCGGTTTTCTGTAATTCTACAGGCCTAGACTATACTCTCTAGTAATTACCCTATTCATTAAAATATTTTTGACCGACATGTATATATTTTTGATTCTCTTATAGGGTGTGCTTTGAATCATTCTTCATATGACCTAAGGAATAAATTATGAAATTTGCTACGCTTTTAAGATAACGAGTCAAAGAAATGAAGTTCGAAATAATAGAGAAGATTTGCAGCTCAGGTGGCTGATTTGCAGTTAATAGTGTTTTCTGAGCTGGTTCGTTTAGTTGCGGAGCTTTCGTCGTCCTTTTGGACAGTATCTTCAGCGTGACATTTAGCATAAAGTGAAATGATTTCAATTTTTCCTCCATGAGTGATAGAATCGCGTCTCTCGGTAACCATCTTTACATATGTATTGACCATTTTCTATTGACTTGGATTTTGATATTTCTGGTCACATGGGATTTACTTTTTATTAGTTGGTATATTTGGTCTATATTAATGTGTTTGTTAATTGCATATTCCTTTGAGTACCAGGCTTCTAGGAATTCCCTGACTACACTGTTGGTGGTGTTTCTTCTGTCTAGGATTTCGACATTATCCCAATCAAACTGATCTCTACAAGTGTCTATATGCATTTATATGAAAGAATATATATCATATCTTTTCATCACAGCTAATTTGCACCCCTGGATTCTGATTCGAAATGGGGACGGCCACTCTGGCCGATGTAATATCTCTTACAGTTTATACATGAAATTTATTTTGTGAATGGTATTAATTTTATCTCCTTTTTCTGTTGGATGAATCTTTCGGTTTGCATAATATCGAATTAAGCAATTTGACTGACTTGTGTCTGTCTGTCTGTTTTCGACATAGAACTTTGCACATATGTGCGGAAGTTCAAGTCGCCACATTCCGTGTAGCACGCGAAGCAAGAGAAGAAAGTACAAGAAAAGCATAATAGAGACAGTGAGCAGAGGTGTGAGACAAAGGAGTAATAAAGAAATACAAAACAGTTTCATTGAAGACCATAAGTCACAGGGAGTGGATGCATCTGCGCCACTGAGAACAGTTTTGAGCCATGTCACCAATTGTTTCCAACCATAGATTTTTACCGTCCCGAGGACCCCAGCCTGGAAGTCTACACCTTTCTACGTGGCTTAGACCAACTGTTGTGGATTTCATTGACTGATGCCAAGTTTTTGTTTGACCGCCGCTAGCTTTTTTCCAGCCTGACCCTATATCCGCTAACATCGTCTATAGTTGTCTACATATGAATCGATATGAAAGAGAAAATGTCGTGCACTTCAATCAATGTATTGATTAGGTACTATTACCATTAAAATTCGTATTCTTTCTTTCCATACAGTTCACCAATATTTCAGAGTCTATAGTAAGAAGAGAGAAAATGTTGTTACGGTTATGAGGATCACCACACCACACAACACCACCCTGCTCCCCAAATATTGTCGCAGTTACAAAAGTCACTTAACTTTCGGCTGTTTTTTTTCTAGAAGCTTTTGCGTCATTGGTGACTTATGATGCTCAACTTTTAGTGAAATGTTTAAGACGGAAATCGTGCAAAACATTGCAGCAAACGTACACAGTAGACTGATTGACTGACTTTCAAAATAGGAAATTTCACAGACGTGCATCACTTCAAGTTACCATACTCCACATAGCACATAAAGGTAGGGGAAAGAGTGACACAAAAGAGAAGAAATGTCAGGGAGAGACAGTAGTAGCATGGAGGAATACAATGAGGAAGTAATTGATCTGGGAGATGACTAAGACTGAATACATCTGCGCCAATGAGGACGATTTTTAGCCACATCACAAAATGTCTTCAGCCACTAGCTAATACCATCCCGAGGACCCCAAACACTCGGCAGTCTATACTTCCCTATGTGACTGGTATAGAATTATTATAATGGATTTCATTGACTGATGAAGCCACTGGCTCTTTTTTTTAACCTGATCCTATGTCACTCAGTTAACATTGACCGTCGGGGAAGCCGATGGATGGCTAGACATGCATGTGTAACACATATCCTAACCATCTCGATCGGTGTAACTTTTCAACCTCATCGATTGATTTCCCCTCCCTACCTAGTACTCGATTGTAGGTTAACCTGAATATTGCTCACCTTATTAGACCAAATAACACGGGAGATAGAACGCAGACACATATGATCAGAGACAGCTAGCCAGCCTTTTCAGATCTATTTTCAATGGTCATGTCATACTCACTCTTTTGGTCGACAGCCAGGCGGATATCACGCCAATGCAACAGATGGCGTAAGTTAGCAAACGCCAAAAAAGAGCCTTCTATATCCGTGCTGAGATTTCGCCAGCGATCAATCCGCTGGCGCTGGTTTATGCAACTTCCCAAATAAGTGAAATGGTCACCACTCTCCATTCCTATTCAATTTTATCATAGACGTACTAATGGATTTAACGCTAACCCACTTCAGACACTCGCTGACTTAGAATATGCAAATGATATAGCCCTTCTAGGCGAGGACGGTGACAAAATACAGAGTCTTCTGAACACCTTGAGCTGCAATCTACGAATGTTTGGCTTGCAATTCTCTCCCACCAAATATAAGATGATGTTACAGGACTGGACTACACTGACTCCTAGTTTAGAAATAGGGAGTGATCGCTTCACTTATTTGGGAAGTTGTATCAATCAACGCCAACGGGTTGATCTCTGACGAAATCTCAGTACGGATACAGAGGGCTAGTAACGGATATTCCAGTTTACGCCATCTCTGGCGTAGACGTGACATCCGGCTGGCCATCGACCAAATGGCGGGTGTACTGCTCATCAGTCCGCTCCGTCCTCCTCTATGGATGACTGTGAGACCTGGCCATTCAGAGTGGAAGACATGAAAAGGTTAGTTGTCTTTGATCATAGGTGCCTGCGTTCTATCTCCTGTGTGAAGTGGTATAATAAGGTGAGCAATATTGACGTTAGGCGTCGGTCAAGTGCTAGGTAGGTTTTATTTATTTATTTATTTATTTAAACGCATAAAAAACTTGGTACAATATGGCACCAAGAAAGATGCGCCACACAATAATAATAAAACAACATAGATCAAAAAAAAAGGAAGGAAGGAAAAGAAAAAATATATATAAGTAGAGAACGGATAAAGAACTTCATCTGGAAGGAAAACAGTCATGCTTAACAAGTTCAAACAGTGTTCGTTAGCTATCATCGGGAAGGGAAGAAAGAAGGAAATCGCAACACATTCGCCACTGATTACGATTCTTGGCCATATCCGATAACGTTTCGAGCCATCGATTTGAGCTATCTCGCGGACCCCAACCAAGGAGTCGTGACACACCAACCGATGCTAATCTAGCACAAAAATCCTTCATCCCACGACGCCACGTCATGGACTGACCACCTCTCCGCCTTTTCCATCCCGTCCCAGGGCTAGCGAACAGAGACCTGTACGGAAGCCTCTGGGGTGACATTCGGAGCACATGTCCAAGCCACCGGAGCCGGTGTTTCCAGATGACGACATTCAATGAATGGTGATCTCCACTTTGTTCAAACACACGCCGCCGAACCTCAGAACTACTCACGCGATGATGCCATCGAACGCAAGGAATCCTGCGGAGACAGCGGTGATCGAACACGCAGAGTCGCCGCACATCCTCAGCTCGGAGAGGCCAGGTTTCACAGGCGTAGAGCAGCGCAGCCCGCACCGAAGCATTGTATACCCAACCTTTGACAGCCAGGCTAACGTCGCGACGGCGCCATAGGTGGCTCAAGTTGATGTATGCCACCCTAGCCTTCATTATACGGTTGGAAATCTCATCCGTCACCCCTCCGCCAGCACTCACACAACTACCCAGGTACACAAACTTATCAACAACTTCAAGCGGTTCACCCGCAAGAGTGAGTGCCAGGTAGGTGGGAGGGGAAATGAATCGACGAAGTTGTGAAATTACATCGATTGAATGAGATGGTTAGGACATGTGTTGCGTATTCCTAGTCACCGCCTTCGTCGACAGGCAATGTTAGCTGACATACGATTGATCAGGCTGGAAAAGAGCTAGCGGCGGTCAAACGAAAACATTGACTCATCAGTCAATGAAATCCACAACAGTTAGTTTAAGCCAGTCAGTCACGTAGGAAGGTGTAGGCTTCCTGACTGGCTGGTTGGGGTCCTCGGGACGGTAAAAACCAATGAAGGCTGGAAACAATTGGTGATATGGCTCAAAATCGTTCCCAGTGATGGCGCAGATGCATCCACTCCTTGTGACTTCCGATGATTTCCAATGAAACTGTATTGTTCTTCGTTATTACTATTCCTTCATCTCGCACCTCTGTTTCCTGTCTGTATTATGCATTTCTTCTACTTTCTTCTGTTGCTTTATGTGCTACGTGTGTGGAGTGTGGCGACTTGAACTGCTGCACATCGGTGCAAAGTTCTATGTCGAAACAGACAAACAGACAGACAGACAGAGAGACCGCTCCACTTCCTATCCTTAAGCTAGGGAGTCGATGTAGTCCAACTTCCAGTGGTCATATCTCACAGCTATAAAAAAAAGAACAAAGACAACTGCTGGTGCCCTAGAAGGACAATAATAAAAACTTTAGAAATCTAAAACAATCAATCTAAGACAAGATAACCACATAAAAAAAAGTTACTGCCTAAGCTACATATTCTTCATTATTTCAAAATATTAAAGCCAACAAGAAATCTTTGAAAATAAAACTAAGTAAAAGTCTTACCGTTTGTTCCTTGTCTCGTCCAGTTTTACGTCCTTGAGCCCGACTAATAAGTTCTGTTAATTTTTGATGTTCCATTTCTAATTCAACTAGTCGATTATGTACTGTACATTGTTCTCGGCTAATCTCTTCAAGACGTGATTTATCCAGTAGAGTCGCCATACAATCAGGTAATTTTGACAGCCCATATAGACTGTTGTTGTCTTTTGTTAAAAGATCAGGATACCAAGTTTTACAACTTTCTGGTAATAGAGTTTCTAAACGTCTAGATGATGAAACAAACAAACAAACAAAAAAAACAAGCGATAATCTGTTAATCTTTAATAGCCTAAGAGAGATTTTTAACTTCGTATTTCAGCATTCCCTAACAGCTAGTCGATAGCTGTTACTCTGACGTGATGGTGGGTGTTCGGACTTGCATTTCTCAATGATCCACCCCACCCAACGAACTACACTGGCTAGTATCATGATGCCGTAAAAGATCATTTGGATAGCGGTCAGACTAAAAGCAGTTACCATCACATAGTGTGTAGGATGTTTAAACTGTGTTGGGGGATCTGTTGGTGAAGTAGTTAGTACTGCTGACGAATAGGGATGCAACGGAAGTAAGGCGTTTCCCTCAGATAAAGACAGGCAAGCCAGCTATTCTGCCTCTCCATTCAATGGAGCCCGGGGGCAGGCGTAGAATAGGTTGACCCCAAAAAACTGTATATCACAACTTATCTTGCAGTGATCAAGTATTGGTTTGTAGGGATTTGGTTGATTAGTTATAGGATTTCATCATGAGCTGACATTGGTTAGAAAACCATTGGAAAACCACCATGGAGTAGTGGACAGCTGTTTCCCACGTCCTAGTTTGGGACTCTTCATCAGTACGCACCCACCGACTGAGGTTCGAACCCAGGACCTTCTGGTTACAAGGCGAGCGAGTTCGTAGACCATTAGGCCACTGAGACACAATCCAATGGCCAGTCCATGAATTCTAACTTCTGCCAATTCATAATATAGCGCAACCGCTATCCAATAACTTCGGCGAGAATTTCTCCTCACATCCGACCTGCTGCACCCTACTGGGTGCGTACTGATGAAGAGTGCCGAAATAGGACAAAACAGCTGTCCAGTACTCCATGGTGGTTTTCCAATGGTTCTCTAACCAATGTCAGCTCATGATGAAATCCTATAACTAATCAACCAAATCCCTACAAACCAATACTTGAACACTGCAAGACTGGCTTAAACTAAATGTTGTGGATTTTATTGACTGATGAGTCCATGTTTTCGTTTGATGGCCGCTAGCTCTTTTCCAGCCTGATCAATCGTATGTCAGCTAACATTGCCTGTCGACGAAGGCGGTGACTAGGAATACGCAACACATGTCCTAACCATCTCATTCATCGATGTAATTTCACAACTTCGTCGATTCATTTCCCCTCCCACCTACCTAGCACTCGACCGACGCCTAACGTCAATATTGCTCACCTTATTATACCACTTCACACAGGAGATAGAACGCAGGCACCTATGATCAAAGACAACTAACCTTTTCATGTCTTCCACTCTGAATGGCCAGGTCTCACAGCCAGCCATAGAGGAGGACGGAGCGGACTGATGAGCAGTACACCCGCCATTTGGTCGATGGCCAGCCGGATGTCACGTCTACGCCAGAGATGGCGTAGAGAGATCAACCCGTTGGCGTTGATTGATACAACTTCCCAAATAAGTGAAGCGATCACTCCCTATTTCTAAACTAGGAGTCAGTGTAGTCCAGTCCTGTAGCATCATCTTATATTTGGTGGGAGAGAATTGCAAGCCAAACATTCGTAGATTGCAGCTCAAAGTGTTCAGAAGACTTGAATGGAGTATGAACCTGTCTTGGTCACCGAAAACGATTGGTAACGTAACTCCTAACGCTGCTCTACTACTCTCGTAGATTAGACTTCAACTCAAAGACTCGAAGTGTGGTCTTTTAAGACAATCAACTACTTCAGCGTCAGAGTTTACGCAGTATCCAAGCCCTCGCATAGAGTATGATATGTTATAAGCTTCACCCAGTCTACAAGCCGGTAGGTAGTAAGCCTAGAGAGAAGAGAAGGTTAAGCGTGATGCAGCTACCAGCTCTACTGAAACTCCAAAGCTTGTAATCTCAATATTTCACTCGCAACATAAGGAATGTAAACGAAATAAAAAAACAAAATGTGCCAATCAGTTTGATTACTGAAGCGCGCGAACTAATTTATGTAAGTAAGTCCAATTAATATTCCATACTTTGGTTTGTAGGGGTTAATTTTGTTTTTACGAGTTTATCACGGATTGATACCAGTTAGAGAACCATTAAAAACAAGCACTGGAGTACTGCCAGACAGCTGCTTCATCCTTGTTTGGGAATCATCGGAAGTACGCACCCACTGCCAGGGCTCGAACTCAGGACCTTCCGGTTACATGGCAAGCTGGCTCGTTTACCTTTCAGCCACTGGGACCCGAATTCTAACTTCTACTAATTCGTGATTTAGCGCGACCCCAACCATTGTTGTAGATGGAACATCCATCCTTTTAACCGGAAGGTCCTGGGTTCGAACCCTGGCAGTGGGTGCGTACTGGCCATGATTCTCAAACAAGGATGAAACAGCTGTTCGGTACTCCATGCTGGTTTTCAATGTTTCTCTATCTAACTGATATCAATCCGTGATCAACTCGTAAAATGCAATTGACTATTTCTACACAGAACAATTGTTAGTTAAAAAAGAGAAAAATTTACAAACAAACTAACTAACTAACTTGATAGCAAGTTTACGACCACATTCATTAGAACAATATTTTGTATCTGGTCTAGCTGCAGGTCGTGTACACCCAGGCCGAAACACTGTCTCGGCTTTTTTAACTCATTCGGTATTGATGATTCAAATGATTTTTGTGGATTTTTATTGTTATCATCGGTTGTTTTAACTTTTTCACGTCTACGTCTATTGACTTTTCGACTAGATGTATGAGCTGTTGTTCTAGCGCTTCCTCCACCACCCCCGCCACCTTGATATCGACTACTATTTTTAGGCCGACCAGCAGACTTTGAAGATGTCTTATTCGAAGAGGCGGTAACACGAGTACTTGCAGAAGAAGAATTGTAATGACTTGTTCGTGATAAACTTCCACCAGGTCTACGTTGAGAACGATCACCTCCATGAGAAGAAGAGATTTTCCGGTGTGAACTATGACTACTGGTGGTAGTTTTACGCGAGGAATGAGTAATATGTGTTCGAGAGGTACGACTAGAACGCTGAAATGAATTGTTGAAAAATATATATATATATAATTACGTATACAAGGTTATAAGAGAAAAATCGTTTAGCCAGAGTTATTTTCACTAATGAATGAACGTATTTAACGACAAACTCTGTTAGAAGAAACATCAGCACCTCTTGATAAATACCCATCAGGAAATTAGACAGAAAAGAACAAGAAGTTCAGCAAAGATATCTATTCAAGTGTTGGTTTGTAGGGATTTGGTTGATTGGTTACAGGATTTCATCATGAGCTGACATTGGTTAGAGAACCATTGGAAAACCACCGTGGAGTAGTGAACAGCTATCTCCCCCGTCCTAGTTTGGGACTCTTCATCAGTACGCACCCACCGACTGAGGTTCGAACCCAGGACCTTCTGGTTACAAGGCGAGCGAGTTCGTAGACCATTAAGCCAGTTCATGAATTCTAACTTCTGCCAATTCACGACATAGCGCGACCCCTAGCCAATGTCTTCGACAAGTATTTGTCCTCACATCCGATATCTATCAATGATTTTATTTTCAAAAGCCGCATGATAGCATTGATATACGTAAGCTTTTTTTGAATATTATTTTTATTCCTTTACGTTTCCAGCGGAACATAGGGTGGCTTCAAGCTAGAGCTTTGGAATTTCGGTAGCAGTGGTATTTATTTTTTTTTACGGGATGGAGTTGCCAGCCTCATGCCCAACCTTTACTCTTTACCAGTCTTACTGCCAGCTTGTGGGGTAAAGGAGTGCGCCGGCTAGGGTATTATTGAACCACGAATCACCTACGTGGTTGTCGGGCATTCCTACCGCTGTACCACCGATGCACGTACACGTAAGTTTACGTATATACAATTATCGTTTAATTCCACATATAATAACGAAGGAGGGAGATTGAAGGTGATAATAATTTTCAACTTCGTATGAATGTTAGAACAGGTGAATATAGATGACAAGGGGTTTAGAAACAAGAAACCTGAACATTGAATTAACAAGAAGAGATGACAGAATTTTAAAAAGATCTGCCTACAGAAAACCATCATCATGGAATGGACAACCGACAAGCTTCTATAATAGCTCGATACCGGTAAGTCGAAAAACAGATTGCATCACATCACTGGCCCACAGGATCAGAAGCATTTATAGCACTGAACGCTTAGACGAAGAGCTCTTACTTGACAAAAATGTCGTGGATCAAAATGGATATCTAGCACGTTTCAGGGAGAACATGAAACCAAAGCCAATAAGAGAAGAATGCACTTCAGTATCAAAAAAACACTGTACTTCAATCCAGACTTCAGGGAAGACTTAACGGCAAACATCCTTAAAAGAAGAATGTCTAGTTTCCTGCACTAATCAACGAACGTGACATCCTCTAACCGCTCACGGCTTCTAAGCAGTGTGAAAGACAGACTTCCGTATATAACCACCCCAATGTATATATATCAGTTCACCTGCTCCTATGGAGCTATCAAAATATGTTAGAGAATATCACCCAGTATGATTGCAAGGAGGAGGCACATGTTCTGTTAGAAGCACCATGACTGACAACCTCATCAACACCTGTTACAGCATCTCAACGGATTAATCATTCAGCGTTATTTAGAAAATAAACGAAAACCTACCAGGGGCAGTGAGTTTCTGACTTTTTTGTACTGCAGAAGCCCTCACCATATGTATCGAAAAGCCGGAGCCATGTTTTCAAATGGAACTAGTCCAACTTCTACATTTACCATCGATCTACTTGGGTTTGACTCCTTAGTTTTCGCGTGTTTTGTCTTTCGCCTTTCTCATTCCCTTTATTCTTTCATTTCAGTTATAAAAGAAACTATTATTTTATTTTTTATTACAGCTTGAAACCACACAGTATTTTTGGTACAAGTATGGAATTTTCAGTATGTGATATCGGTAGCCCAAATTTTACAGGCCAACCATTAATACCAGATGTGCGTCGGTAGGGATCGAACCCCGGACCATTTTCATGGTCGGTGAAAGTCCTAACCGCTGTGCCACCCACGCAGCTTGTTTCCGTGTTCATCTCGTCCACACCTGTAACTGGTTGAAAAGACTATTTTCTAGTCATGTTTACTTTTATTTCAAGCCCCTTATAATCTATATTCACCTCACCCACCCACCCCCCTTCGAACATTCATATCAAGTTGAAAATTATTACCAACTTTAATAATCCTTCTTCGTTATTATGCAGAATCAAATAATAATTGTATCTATGTGAACCTGTCTGGATTCAACATAGAACTTGGCACCAAAGTGCAGAAGTTCGAGTTGCCACGTTCCAAATAGCACACAGACAAGAAGATGAGTGAAGAGAATCAATAGAGTTTGACAAGTATAAGAGTGAAACAGAATGGGTAATGGTAGAAAGGAATATGAAAGATTACAGAGACTGAATACATCTGCGCTGACCATTGACAACGATTTTGAGCCATGTCACCTATTGTCTCCAGTCATTGATTCTTAGAGTCCCGATGGCCCCAACCCGGAAGTCTGCATCTCCCTACCTGACTCAGTTTAACTGTCAAGGATTTCATGGATTGATGCCATGTTTTTGTTTGGCCACCACTTACCCTTTTCCAACCTTCACCTATATCAGCTAGCAATGCCCGTCGGGGGAGGCGGTGGTTAGGCATGCGCACCACGTGACCTAGCCATCTTAGTCTGTGTAACTTTATAGCCTCGTCGATTGATTTTCCCTCTTTGCCCAACACTACGCCTAACGTCAACATTACTTACCTTATTAAACCACCTAACGTGAGAAAGAGATCGCAGACATCTATGGTCGAAAGCAGTCAACCTTTTCATGTCTTCAACTCGTATCGGCCATGTTTCAGAGCCATAGAGAAGGACAGAGCGAACTGATGAGCAGTACACACGTCCCTTGGTTGATAACCGGATGTCACGCCCACGCCAGAGATGGTGTAAGTCAGCGAAAGCAGTTCGAGCTTTTCGGATCCGTGCTGAGATTTCATCGCCAATCAGTCCGTTGGTGCTGATACAACTTCCCAAATAGGTGAAGTGGTCAACATGTTCTATCACTTCACTCCCTATCACTAAGCTAGGAGTTGACGTAGTCCAGTCCCGTAGCAGCATCTTACATTTTGCAGGGGCGAATCGCATGCCAAACATACGGAGATTGTTGCTCAAGGTGTTCAGAAGACTCTGCATTTTGTCAGCATCCTCCCCTAACAGGACTATGTCATCTGCATATTCTAAGTCCATAAGACTATTCCCTAGTAACAAGTCGATTCATAAGTCGTTACGTTCAGTTAAGGATACTTCCATCAGCATATCTATGATGAAGTTAAACAGAAATGGGGAAAGTGGACATCCCTGTTGGACACCACTGGTTGTTACCAATTCAGATGACAATTCCCCATAAGCCCTTACACGGCTACGTGAGTTTGAATAGAGTGCCTTGATTAGTGCAATGTACTTTCTTGGCACTTGAACCTATGTACATATTAATGTAATTGCACAGCTTTTCAGAACGAAATCACTGGAAAGATATCTTTGTTGAACTTCTTGCGTCGGCAGCACAGCGGTTAGGACTCTCGCCGACCATGAAAATGGTCCGGGGTTCGATCCCCTGCCGACGCACATCTGGTATTAATGATCGGCTGTAAAATTTGGGCTACCGATATCACATACTGAAAATTCCATACTTGTACCAAAATTACGGTGTGGTTTCAAGCTATAACCAAAATTAAATTAAATTGATTAATATAACGAGTTGTTTTCCTGAAAGAGCTCAACTGCAACTACAGAACCGTGTAGAAAGATATGAATACTCTGAGTAAGATTAATAGGAAGTATATATTGTATTATCAGGGGGCATTGTCTCAACTACAGGAGGAACGGACGAGGATGTCAAATCGAGCGAGAAACACATTCATCAACCTGAAACCAATCTGGAAATCTTCGACACTCAGCCAGCATCAACAACAAAATTCACTCGAATTTCCAATACAAACAACGTCAAGTCAGTCAGTTCTTCTATACGGATCAGAAACTTGGCGGGCGGGTCACAAAGAATATTTCCAACAGCCTGTTGCAGACCTTTATCAACAACTAACTGTCTTCGCTGGATCTATACTGAAGATCAGATGGCCGGACCGGGCCGGAAAGAATCACCAACAGGAAACTATGGGCACAAACAAACAAAACAAGAACAAACCAATCGCCCAACAAATATACAGCAGGAGAAAGTGGAGATGGATGGATTAGACACTCACTCGCTGAGGAGGAGGCGGCTGGGTGACATCGCGCGCGCGTCAGGCCATTGCTCGAGTGGAACCAGGCCGAGAGGGAAGCGGCGAGTGGGACGTCAGTGCAAGGGTGACATGGAGGAGATGGTGTGAAGAGGAGTTGAAACAGTGTGGACTAAGATGGATGGATGGAGGTGAAAAGTAGAGCAGAAGACAGAAGCAAGTGGAGACGTGCAGTTGAAGCCCTATGTTCCACTAGGAACCAAAGGGAACAATAATAATACACATTCGCTCAATTTCTACCTGTGGATCATGGATTCACATTTCGCCCCACTTGTCCAGGTATGAGCAGTTAAATTGTATCATTAACTTTCACACAATAAATGTAAATACTGATAAAAAAATAGTTGAATCGAATGATGATACATTTAGTTAGTTAGAGAGCCTTGTCGGTCGACCGACTCCTTAACCTCGTCTAGCTGGCAGTGTAAAACCGGAAAATAGGGGAAGATTAAGTGTGTGTGTATGTGTGGCTAGGAATCCTACTTGATAAAAACCATACCGTTATTGTTGAAACTTTGAAACTCAGGCCTAAAGCCCTATGTTGACAAATTCACTCACTTGCCCATATTTTGAAGTAGATGGGGTGGAGTTCGAACCTGAGAGCTGCTTGCCAATGAACCATATCTCCACTGCGTGTACTGAGACCCTATTGCATAATAGATATAACTAACAGCCTATTGTATGGACTAGTAGTCTTAAAATGGTATGAATAATAGCGTAAGCAAACGGATTCTTTTTTTTTATTCCAGATTCGCAAATGCTTTCGCGTATTAACCTACGTGAAATTCCCTTTGAATATCTAAAGTGTGTGTGTGTGTGTGTGTGTGTGTGTGTGTGTGTGCAAAAATACACACAATTCAACTCTTTACTCTGTCAAAGTTAAATCTGTCTTTGTATTGTAAACAGTCGATTTCACAACTAAAAACTTGTACACAACATGGAATACTGACTGATGTATATGAATTCACCTACTAACGCTTCAACTAAACATGATTACGGGACGTGATGGGTAATGCTCAGGTTAGTTTTGTATGCTTACTGAAGTTTTGCGTTGGTTACTCCTTCCTGGCTGCCAACACCATAGAAGTTACTTTCTTCCTGAAGTATCTTGCGTGACCGACCGCACAGCCCAATGAAACAATTGCTTGTGGCTGGTGGTTTGTTTGAAGTGGTTTTTAGAGTCGTATCCATATCAAGATCTTACCGGCGGCTATGGACCACTGCAAGATAAGTTATAGGATTTCATCATGAGCTGACATTGGTTAGAGAACCATTGGAAAACCACCATGGAGTACTGGACAGCTGTTTTGTCCTATTTCGGGACTCTTCATCAGTACGCACCCAGTAGGGTGCAGCAGGTCGGATGTGAGGACAAATTCTCGCCGAAGTTATTGGCTAGCGGTTGCGCTATATCGTGAATTGGCAGAAGTTAGAATTCATGGACTGGCCATTGGATTGTGTCTCAGTGGCTTAATAGTCTACGAACCCGCTCGCCTTGTAACCAGAAGGTCCTGGGTTCGAACCTCAGTCGGTGGGTGCGTACTGATGAAGAGTCCCAAACTAGGACGGGGGAAACAGCTGTCCACTACTTCATGGTGGTTTTCCAATGGTTTTCTAACCAATGTCAGCTAATGATGAAATCCTATAACCAATCAACCAAATCCCTACAAACCAATACTTGAACACTGCAAGATAAGTTGTGATATACAGTTTTTTGGGGTCAATCTATTCTACGCCTGCCCCCAGGCTCCATTGAATGGAGAGGCAGAATAGCTGGCTTGCCTGTTGTTTATCTGAGGGAAACGCCTTACTTCCGTTGCATCCTTATTCGTCAGCAGTACTAACTACTTCACTTTTAACTTGAACTGCCTGTGTAAAAACTATATAAGCGCAATTTTCTGAGCACTGTTCACTAGTTGTGAAATTTTCTGTCAACATGTAAAATTTGCAAGTACGTTAAAACGTTTCTGTACTTAAACTTGAAAATTTATTTAGGCTGTAAGCAGCTGACGAGAAGCCAACGAAATAAATGATGGTACCATGTTATTCTGCACAAATCAATGTTGTTCTCGCTTTATTCAAACAATTGTTCAGTTAGACACAGTACTCGATAAAGGCTAGTAAAAACAAATGAGCCGATCAAGTAATGCTAGATGATTGTAAGGGAAGTAAATAAAACACGTTTTTAATGAAGACGTGATAAGATCAAGGGATGCTAAGAAAGGGGTTGAAAATATAAACAAGGGGTGGTGTAGAAGTCATTAGTTGGTTATGTCTTAATAGACCAAGGGGGGATAATGGCTGTGCGAACTTCTTTTCGATGAGCATAGTTTAGGTTTAATAGTTCGAATACCTATCGCCAGCCTCAGCTGTGTGCAGTAGACGAATATGAAGTCTATTGGAAAGATTTGATGGGATACGATGAATTACTTTGAAAGCTCTCGTTTTCTCCCCTACATGACGACTACCAAGTAAATGTGACAAAATTGAGCTACGGATTGTTTTTGTCTGCCCTTTGCCAAACCACAATAATGGGAGATGTTCACTAACACATTGGTTGGCTAAGCGGTCTAGTAGTACGCCCAACATAACTGTCACTGCAGGTGCAGTTGAATTGAAAAATGCACACAGATGTGGCAAAACTATCTAGCTATCTATCCTTCGTTTGCGTCCCAATCATTCGTCGGTTAGAGAATGACAAACATAGGTGTGCTGCGTAAAACGTTCTCCGTATATCTCTGGAGTAAAATCTCATTTGCTAAGTCACCATTAAATTGTAACTTATTAAATAGAGGTTTCTTACGTACAGTCAGAGTCTCAGGTTTTTTCTCTGATGTTTTCATAAGTTTCTTTATGAAACTACTCGGAATCATGAATATATTCAAATTCCTTTTGTAAGCGGTCATCCGTACATATCTTTCTCGCTCTGCTCGCAAGACATTTAACAACATTCCTTTTATATTTAATGGGCACGTAACTAAAAAAGTGTGTGTATTGCCCTGTGAATGTGATTTTCCTATACACCCTTTTCCCAAGCTACCCATCTTCTCTCCTACTTTCTCTAAACTAGTCGAAATAATCTTTAAAAAAATGTTAAGCCGCAGTTATATTTTTTCTAATGAATGTCAAACTATAACAAACATGGTACTAACTACTACTTAAATGCTTGATATTGTAGCGTAGATATCTTAACAGCGATAATCATTTAAAAGACAGGAAATAAACACTAAGTGCTGAAGTAGAAAGTTTTCTTTGCCAACGAAATCATCTTCAGAGGTTGTACAATCGTATTTATATTTACGAAAAACGTATAGTAGTCAGTTGCTGTGTAACAGTGGGTGACATAACTGATACAGTTAGCCAGTAGTTTCCAAAATACGCAAGTCAACGACAGAATGGGAAAAAAGATTTCAAATTTGATAGAGTGAGAAGTGTTATTTGACGAAAAGCAAGTTAGATTAGTGTCTACTTGAAAAGTGTGATGACAGTCAGAAAGTGATTTAGATTGAGATTTTATAGGAATCTCGACTAATTCCAACGTATATCTACCTCACCACGAACCAACATGCAGTAGAGATCATTGAAAAGACAGGGAACACTGGACAGAGTCTCAAACTAGGGCTGTTCAATAGCCCCTGCTTTTCAATGATCTCGAATTCATGTTACTTTGTAATGAGACCTAGCTTGAAAACACGGTTACGGACATCAAAGTAAAAGAAAAATTTCGAAAATTTAAACTTACCTTTTTGTCATGATCAGAAGCGACCCAATCTTCGTCTTCTTCGTCATCATCATCGTCGTCAATATCATCTTCAACATCCACATCATCGTCATCACTATCTAAATCGCTGAGATCATCCACATCATTATCTTCTAAGTTAGCATAGTTTCGATGTCCATTAGGTATAGAACGGTTAGATGATAACCAATCATAAGAAAAATTAGATTCTTTATTATTTTTTGTATTAAATTCGCTGCGTTGACCATTTCTGTGTTTATAGGACATTAGTGAATCACGAGAATTATTCTTAGTGAGACCTTTTATATCTCTTGTCGTTGTTGTGCTATCGTCCCATCCACGTGAAAAATCTGTCCTGCTTGAAGAGTTTTTCTCAAAAGTATACCTTTGACTCATTATGTTTAATGACTAGTTGCAGAAAAAGCAATTACATTTTATTCTACAAGAACAAAAAGACAGTATTAAATAAAATGAGTAATGTTTACATTACTGTATAAAACTGTGAGACTTTATCAAAACAAATTTTACCCGTAATGGAATTATACTCTACCACAATGCACAATTTTTATTCTTATACCAGTATTTTGGTAACTTTGTACATTCTTATCTGGCTACCCTCTAGAGAACAAATAACTTTTTCTCAGTATTCGACTGTTATACTATCCCCTAAAACTACGGCTCATTGGTCTAGGCGCTTGGTACCCAAGTTCCAGAGCCTGTCCAACTATTGAGGTCTGTGTAGCCAAACAGTATCCCTAGGCAATGCACAATAGGTGTGGTTTACTGCCAGTTGCATAGAATCTATTGTAACGTCTTCACATCATCCAACAATTTATGCCAGCAAAGCCAACAAAAAATAGATACCATTTTATGACATACTCCAGTGTCTAAACTGGTTAAGAAAACGGAGTTTCGTGATATTTATCTGTGGATAAATCAGTAAGTGCTTCATACTTTAAAATGTTAGCCGGATTGAAGTATGGTGATTAAAAATACCCAGAACATAGATTGTCATTTTGTAAAATATGGGGATGTAGGTAGATTAGCAACCAAATGGCCTTGGATAACCAAAAACGTTTTGTGGGTAGCAAGCTCTAAAGACGACAAATCGGACACAAAAAATAATCATAGAGAGTATCAACTGCCAGTAAGTACTAGAAGTGTGTCCGGGCTTGTCATTGGATTTAGCAGCGTTATTTCAAACCACATTTTGCACATGAAGTCATTAAAACAGTGGTATATCGTGGCCATGTCAACAGCAATTTTTTGTTGTTATAATGTTTTTCAAACGCCCCAATAATCCCTTCATCGAATTGATATACCCCAAAGGACAGATCAACGAAATCAAGAGAATGACTGAGTATTGTGATTTTTCTGCAAAGTCATCCAAAAGCCACTTGGTTGGTCGCTCTCTAGGGTAACCAAGATTCCTACTTCAAACATCGGTCAAACCATTTATGAGCACTTCAGTCTTAAAACAACTAATATATGATTTACAGTAAGGTAGTGATGCAACAATGAGGTAAAAATACTAATTGATTTTCTATGCCGAGTTATTCCCGATTATAATCGGGAAAAACTATAATCTATAGATGAATATTCATCTATATATAATTATATTATATAATGCCGATGCATTCTACCCAGCACGGGCTAAGACATTCACTAATACCAAGTCTCAACAGTTACTGTTCCTCTTGAAAGTATTTTTACAAAAAGAATAGGAAAGGACATCGTTCAACATTTTGTCTATACAGGCTTTTGTGCATTTACATTTCTTACATTTACATTTTATAACGCACAGTTCGCATTTCGCGCAGAGCTGCATATCCGATATTCAACAAAGTTTTCACTGGCTAGTGTAAACCAATCTGACTTCTTTGTGCTTGTCTCTTGATTGTGAAGTATAGGTTCCTGATCTTCGGTAAACTTCTGTGTAGCTCATCCCACTACTTGGCTGTCGTAGCTTTGGTTGACTCGAAAAGAGTGGCGCTGGGATTGATTATATGTGGTTCATGGTATGAGATGTGTTAAGACTGTTACTACTGTGAATGGAGTTGATCCTTTCACCAGTTACTCCTCCAGTATCGTCGTCAAAAGAAAAGAGATAACAACAATAGATATAATTAGTGGAGTTATTCAGACTAACAGACAGAAAAACAATTAAAGAAAACGTAACAACAGCCAGCTGATTAAATTTGAAATTGATATATGTATATATATATGATATAATAATAATGAGTACAGTCAGAGTTGTCAGGAGAGGTCGCATAGGACAGCAATCACCAGTAGGTGTTTGTTCTTTTCTCTTGAGATATATTTCAGATGACTCACTGTTGATAATGTTAGAGCGCTATATATTGATATGTTCCACAACCCTGAATGTCCATTGAAACAAAGTCCATTGTAGTTCTGCGTTGGCGGATTTCACTACCCTTCAGCCTCAGTATGGTGTGGCCAGGCAACCTGCTGTTCCCCATGGATTCCGTGCCATGATAATTAACTGCTAAATGCATGTAACAACTTGATTAGCCCCAGTTAAAATGTCTCCCCAAAATTTGGTTTTTTCAGTGCAAAGAATCAAAGTGAGGCTCAAAGAACTCAGTAATTGATTAGAATATTAAGGAAGTAATGGGGAGGCATACACTGAAAATTGTGAAACTTCACTTTGCACTGTTCTGTAGTCTTTCAAGGTTATTGCAATTCCAAACAATAATATTGTAAAGGAGGATAACAAAATCTTTATCATTATGTGGTGCATCTTTATTGCACTGGAGTAAGTCTTTGGTAAAATGGATTATGTCAACTTGCATTAACATTAAGAAAATAAGCGTTAGTCCACCCTAGGACGGCTGTTTTGAGTTTTGTTTTAGCGGGCGTATCTTCGACAAGGCATGTACCCATTTTGCTCCTCTTCTTTTTGTCGGTAAGATACACGTCCACAGAGTTCGTAATCAAGTCATTCTAGTCAGATAAGTGGTAGAAACTTTTTTCTGGGTAACCTTACCATTTTACTCTACTTGAATGTGGATTGCTGGTAACAGTAAATTTCTGAGAATTTCTGAATCTGACTTGTACTTCAGTGGCATAGCGGTTAGGACGCTCGTCAACTGTCAATGGAGTTGAAGATTGAACGATCAATTCTTGGTTGTTTGCTCAAAATCAACTTCCCCAATTTTCGCGGAGGCATCAATACGACAGTCATCGTCTCATCGGTCGCTGTTCAGAAAGAAGAGTGAAACATCGTCAGAAGTAATATAACGATTTATTATTGTAATATTTGTTTACAGACCTTAGTTCGCTTATTCCTTTTATATGTTGGTGTAACAATAAACAAATATCAAGCGGCAGATCGGTGTTTTGGTTTTTGCGTCCGTTATAACTAAGCGTTTCTGAAATCTTCGAAGAACAGCGTGGGCCCGAGCGTAGCGAGAGCTGGGCATTAACGGTTTATGAGACGTGATTGACAGTTTCTGACGATAGAAACAGATCTGGCGGATTCAAACAGTTGGTGAAAGTTTGGATAGTCGCCGTTCATTTTTCCTGGTGCCGGTCAAGTCCTCTTTGAACAAGCAATATCTGGAACTTTTTGGAATTGGGTCAAGTTCAACAATGCCTGGGTCAAAGAAGGGACAGAGTGTCTTGGATGCAAACAGGAAAGTAAGTCATGGTGACTTGTCTGTTAATTGTAACGATGTGTCTGATGTTAAGCATGACATGGTTGATGTTACTGTTTCGCCGTTCAGGGATAATAGGAACATCAAACTCCCTAAGTTTGAACCACGGTGTTTTGATGGAAACCCGGCCGATTATTTACAGTTTGTTAAGGAGTTTGAGATCATGCTGAGTAGTTTTTTATTAAGTGATGAATTGAAATTGATGTATTTGATGAGGTATTGCACTGGAGATGCTTCAAGAGCTATACAGTGCTGTAAGCTCATGCCCCCTAATGAGGGATACGCTGAGGCTATGAGCATATTACGTCAAAGGTTTGGAAGGCCTTCGATGATTGTAAGGAACGTATACGAAGCTGTCAAAGGTAATGGCAGTCAACTTCGAGATGACTCCAAGGCACTCACTGAGTTTTTAGACAATCTTATGACTTACAAGAATACCTTGATTTCTATGAATTTCATGAGTGACCTCAACTCCAGCTCAGTCCTAGAGGTAATTGCAAGACGCCTACCTACGCGGCTGCAAAGGAAATGGGTAAAAATAAGCTCTCGTATAGAGGAGGAGGGTATCGAGCCAAGGTTCGATGATATTCTTAGACTGGTGAAGGACAGTGTCAACCAGGCGATGGGCAAATTCGCCAGCATTTTGCATTCTAAGGTAGAACCTAAGGAACCAGTGAATATAAGGAAGGCATTTGTGGTGAAGTCTCAAGACACAACGAGAAAGGATGAGTGTATTGTCTGCCATAACATGCATCAATTGAGTGATTGTAATCGCTTTATCGCTATGTCACCCGTAGAAAGGTTAAAAATGGCAAAGCAGAAGCGGCTGTGTTTCAGTTGTTTAAAGATTGGGCATACAAAGTGGAATTGTAAGGCGACAAATAAAGGAAGTAGTGGTTTAACGGATATGCACCCACTTCTGAGAACAGTGAACGAACCTGGGAGTTCGGTTAATTGTAATAGTATCTCTAGACCCCTTGACATCCCACAAGTTTTCTTAGGGGTATTACCAGTTAAGGTGAAAGGACCGAAATCTTCAGTAGAGACTTATGCATTGTTGGATAATGGTTCAGACGTTACATTGATAGATGCTGAACTGGCTGGTTGCTTGGGTATTAAAGGCCCAAAGCAACCCTTGGTTGTAAATACTTTCAATTCTGCGAAAACAGTAGTATGTGAGCGAGTGTCATTTCAGTTAGAATCCTTGGCTACTGGGGAGACCGTGGAAGTGGATACTGCTTACACTACCTCCAGTATGAAACTTGGCGAAGCTATAGTACCTAGTCGTGAAACGGTTGTCGGTAAGCCATACCTGTGTGACATACCTCTTCCAACATTGCAAGATGGAAGAGTGAGAGTACTCATTGGATGTAGTGTGCCAGAAGCTCACAAGGTATTAGAAGAGAGATTTGGAGGTAGAGATGATCTGTTTGCGACAAAAACACCACTGGGATGGACAGTGAGAGGACCTATACCCATAGTCCACATATCATCATTAGTTACAAACGATGGGGACAAACTAGAAACTATGATTAAAAATATGTATGACAAGGAGTTTTGTGACTGCGGTGTCCCAGGGAAAGGTCGTTCTGTAGAAGACTTGAAAGCAGTTAAAATAGCCGAGGACTCTTGTAAATACGAAAACGGGCGTTTCAGCGTTGGCCTACCATGGAGATTCAAAGATAGACAGTTGATTTGTAATAGGAAAGTTGCTCTTAA